GAAATACGGATTTCTTAGGCTTCAGTTAAAAAGTAGTTAACTTGATACTATAAGAACTTTCTGAGTATTTACACTCATATTCAAATCTTAGAACCTCAAGGGTCAAGAACATCCCTCAATATATTCATACTTTTAAATTCAACATTAAGTGATTTTACAAATATGATTAAAAAAGTAATTAAAAACATGTATAAAAATAATTAAAATTTAATTAAAACCACAGACTAATTAAAATGATTAAAAAAATCAAAACAATCCTAATCATTAATTCTTGAATGATCTTCAAGATTTGTGGTTGTGACTATTTTTTATACTATCGCATGAGAGCCTCCGTGAAGTCTCTTGTTGGATTGTTGGTTTGGGGAAGCGTGGAGCTCGGATGGTATATACTTATGTATATAGAGAATTCTAAGATCATATGAAAGATATTCCAAGACTGAAAAAACTGTTGATAGAAGTCATTTCTATCTTGTCTCAAACTATATAGAAGACAATAAAGCATGAGATATCTTGCTTACTACTCATAAAAGGACTACAAAGGTAAAAATTGCCAAATTTCAGATAGTGATTTCCAAATTTAAAAAACTTAAAAGGAGGAATATGATTCCATCACGAATTTCCATTCATGAATAAGAGAGTTGGCAAATGAAGCTGAAAGACCTGGTGAACCATTTTAAAAAAAAAGAAAAAAAAACTCGTGTCAAAAGTTTTTCGTTCTCTTCCAAAAAATTCTATGAACGCCAATGCTATGAGGCAATCAAAATGCCACGAGCATGTCTCTTGATGAGTTGATGGGAAACCTATAAACACTTGAGTTGGAGATGAACAAAGACGTGAAAAGTAAAAACTGGTAAAAAAACGCTTAATAGAAGAAGATGATCTGGACACGGGTAATGAATTTCACGAACAATTGCACATGGCTCTAAAAGATTTTAAGAGAAAATGACTTCAAAAGAAGAAGAAAATTCAGATGAAGATCTTAAATTTGCTTAGCTGCATGAATGTGTTGATGGGTAAAAGAAGACTGGAATAATTTTCTAAAGAGTAAATGAATGCAAGTTTGGAGGGAGAGCAAAGGATGACACAGAGGATGATGTAGTAGAACAACTTCCCGTATGCCCGTACTACAAGAAAAGTGGATTGAGTTACTGCAGGATAACAAAACTCACCTTGGAGTTGTTTGAAGCAAGAAAGAAACTTAAAGAGGTAGGAGAATGTAAACCTGACTTAAGAGATTAAGTCTAGGAATTCCGCAAGTGGTTGAAAAATGAAAGATCTGAAGCTATTGAACAATAAATTGATGCAGGCAAAAGTTTCAGAGATCAAACCGGCATTGGCATTACTAGTGCAGAGCCCACACACAACAAAACTCCTCAGGTTAAAATATTTGTTCCAGAAGAAAGCAGGAGTAAAAAGAGTGTGACCATACATTCTCTACCACACATATTCTTAACAAGATGAAAGGAGGATCTCTCAATAATATGAAAGGTATTGCTCACTGCAATCCCATGTGCTGTTGTTTCAAAAAGAGGGGACACACTAGAACATAGAGCAAGAAGCTCAAGCCGCAAGGATCAATAAGAGGACATTCAGTAACAAAGATGATTTGGGTTTCCAAACAAGAAAAACCAAGTTAGAATAGTTGCTAATTCATGTTTGAAGGGCACTCACTTACTCATAACAAATGGCTTCTAGACACTGAATGTTTGCACCATGTGATCGGTGAAAAACTAAGGTGCAAAGTTGGGAGAAAAGATGACCATTTTACTTGTGAAAGAGCTAAGTCATTGATAACTATGACGAAATGATTTTTTAAAGATCAGATTCTAAGAAAACTGGTAATGCTTTGTTGGCTCCTCAGAGTTATAAGAATCTAACGTTTATAGCAAGGTTGTTAAGATTGCGAGTCGGATCGTAAAATTGTGTGATTGTATGATGAGTGCTAGGGTTTTCGATCCGGATTGCTGCTATAATCCAAAACTTCTCGGATCGTCTCGGATCAACGAGGATGGCGTAGAATCGTCGGATCGCCACAATGACTTGATTTGGAAAGATGATAGAGTAGAATAAAAAGAGGGAAAGAGTCGTGTGGTTACATGATCGGCCTGAGTGATCCTGACTTTAGACAAGGCTTGGTACGGGGTGCTTCCCATTTTCATTCTTCCTTTTTTGAGAACTAAAGATTAGTATGGTAGTATAAGTTTGAGTAGTTTTAGTTTCTTAGACAACATGTATATGATCTTACTTTTGTTAAATACTCCTTTCGTCCCACTCTTTCTGTCCCGGTTTCTTTTCGGCACACATACCATGAAAAAGAGATAATGGTGAGAAAAGACCTAAATTGCCCCTGCCTTCGTCAACCCTTAACTCGCTTATGGTTCTGCTTCCATTTGGAACTTGCATACCATGCTAACAAAATTAAAGCTTTATTCTTTTTAATCTTAATTCACTCATCAATCCCACATCGAGCTCGTGGTCATCATCATCTTCTCCGTCCCAATTCGCATATGGATATACTTAAGCCTTGTCTGTTACCAACTGTCATCAGTCAGATCTTGTTCTTTGTCGTATTTTCTTCGTCTCCTTCGTTGCAGGCATCATTGCCTTTCTGTCAATATGTGTGGTCAGATCTAGTTCTTAATTGCTGGGGTCGTTGCCGATGTTTGTTCAAATCTTGAGATAATTGATTTGTTCTTATCTCCTTGGAGCACAGGTCAATTCTCCTCCGTCGTTGTCGATGCCATCGCCGGTGTTGTCACCAACTGCCATCGTATCCACCGGCCTGGCCTTCTTTATAACCTTTTTTTATTCGGTAGAAGAATTATGCAATGAAAGTGGTGGGTGTAATTGTGAGAGAGAATAAAGGGTAAAAATGAGAATTGAATACATTTAGTTTTACTAAAAGAGGAAAATGGACAAAAACACAGGGCTTCCTGACCTCTCGATTTGGAATAGCTCTTTTGGACATAGTGAAACCAAGCTGATACATACGATAGGCAAAGGATTTCATAGCGCCTGGGGAACACAAGTTGAATCGAATTCCTCAAAGAGGGAGAGTGGATGTTATCGGTTACCAACTCATTTGAAACGAAATGAGTTTTTTGAAACGAATCTCTAGCTACTTCGTCCCATCTCTTAAAAGATAAACATAAAGATTTGATATGATTAAAAATATGTATCACAATTGAATCAGAGAACAGAGATTCGTTTCAAATGAGTTGTTCGTTGAACTCATTTCGTTTGTTCGTTGGAAAGAATTCTCTTTCTCGATGGAGCCGGCCACCCTGAAAAGGAATACCGGACGAAAACAGTGGGACGGAGAGAATAAATATCATTTCTGTGGTAGAAAGAACTTTTGTACTAGAATCATAAAACCAAGAACTGGAAATGGACAACTACCTAAAACGGATCCTAAAAATACCATGGGCAGTCTGTGTGGATGGTACCTGTGTTCGTTTGAACTAAATCTGGAAAGCTTTCTTATCTTTGAAAGCTGTGATGTCTCTTGTACTTGGGGATGACAACGGGTTGGGGTCGGGGTCGGGTCGGATAGTACTATACCCGAATCTGACCCGACCTGACTTGTAAAACTGAAACCCAAACCCAACCCGAAACCCGACTTATAAACCAAAAACCCAACCCGACCCAAATCCGACATTTAAACCCAAAACTGATACCGTAATTTAACCAATAACCAATTCAACGTACCCCAAGAATTTTAAAAAGAATAAATCTAATTTTTTTTTGTCTTTTTTTATTAAGGAATTATTAAAAAATTGAAAAAGGCATATTTAGTAAAGTAGCACCTTGTCAAGAGATTATATAGAGTGCTCATTATATCCATAGATAGGCTTTTAGGTTATAAAAGATTCGGGTTTGGGTCGAGTCGGGTTTCGGTTTTATCTTGAAAGCTTTTTTATCTTTGAAAGCTGTGCTGTCTCTTGTACTTGAGCTTCACCCGAAAAAGGAACTAATCGTTATGTGAATTCTTGTAATCACAGAACCGATACTATGCTGCGTTTTGGACTATGAGAAAGAAAAGAAAGACGGAAGCGCAAACACTGCTGTCCTCTCCTATTGTTTGTTTTGAGTGTCAAAAATGACATTGAAATGTGAATTTTCTATTGCGCTTGGTATTCAATAATTCTTGAGATATTTCCTTATTTATTTCTTTCATATTTTATGTTTGGGATTTTTCTTATTAAGAAAAGAAACAGCATTTGTTTGTGTGAGAGTATATTATAACAATAATCTTGTTGTTCTCTCTCTCTCTCTCTCTGTGTCCCTCTCTCTCTCTCTCTCTTCCCACACCCCATAGTGAAACATTCCCTGTTACAATTTGCGCTCCATCTCTCTCTCAATCTCTACGTCTTCGATTGATGCTTGAGCCGCTCACTTTTTATCACCACTCGTGTTAAGAGCCGTACTTTAAGAGAACCCGATATGAAAAGTGAAAATTTGTGATTGACATATATTTGTTGCTAATAGTTAACCGTTGTAAAACATAAGTTATTAGACGAGTCGTAATTTGCCAATTTCTTGAGATGGAGAAACTATTGATGCAGACACCTTGTAATTTCGTTGCATCATAGGGTGTATGAGCAGTGATATGAGAGAGGATAAGAAAGGACTATGTTCCTGTGAGATATTGCGGACCCTAATTCTGCTGGTATACTTTTGCAAACACGAATGTAGAGTTAAGAAGATAATGATGTCAATGTTGAATAGTAAAGACCTCATCCATTGGAAGTGGCAAAGCTATTCACCCAGTTTAAGTTGAGTTACAAGCATGAATTTATGCTTTTTGATTGATTATAAAAGTAATATTGTTGGGTAGGGACATACGAACCAAAACCCTAGGTATAAGTTTTCCTCTCCGTCTCCTTCTTCGATCGATCGAGGACCAAGACTAGCGACGCCAACTCTCTCTCTCTCTCTCTCTCTCTCTCCCTCCTTGTGCGATTAGCCAATAGCAGCATCCGCGTCAGACCCAGCGGACACGGAGGAGGTTTGAAAAGGCGATCTTCTTCTCCGATTGATCGAGCAGATGGGGTCTGTCCTCTCTGGCGACTCGACGATCTCTCTCTCTCTCTCTCTCTCTCTCTCCTTCACCTCCGGAAAATGAGAGATGACGGCGGTGACCCTGGTTGGTGCAACCCTCCTTCCGCTCCGGCGCCCTGTCCGATGGGACACAGCGGCAGCACCAGCGTCTGGGATGATCTCCCTCTACCTCCCTCAGTTTGGCGACAGGGGAGGTCACAATCAAGCAATCTCCTTCCCCGATCAATCAAGCAGCAGCACGGATTCTGGCAGAATTGACCCAACGACTTTCGGTAACCCCCTCGCTCTTCTATGAAGATTGGGGCTGTGCAAATTGGCTACACCAGGTTAGGGCTGCGATGCTGGGGTTCGGGCAACATTGGGCAGATTCGGGTAGGCATGATTGGTCCGGACAATAGTAGATGGAAGGACGACCTCCGGGGGGATGGCGTCAGACTCAAGGGCAGCAGCGGCGATGGCTTCCGGCAATAAAGATTCCACTGCCAACCTCACCCAATCTCAGGCGGACAACAACAATAGCTATGCCAGTAACCACGTTGACGGATATAAGCATTGTGGACAGCAGTGGGTAGACCGACGGTTTCCATATGAGATCCCAGAGGTGGTGTCTGGGTAATGGTGATTAGCTTTGGGCAGCATCTGAACAGCGGCAGTTGACTTCGTCGACGTCGAAAACGCCACACTCTTTAAGGAAAATTGGATCAATCGAGGTGAGTACGTGAACATCTAACACTAGAATATGCATCTATGTTTTTCTTATGCTACAAGGATCTATTGCTATTATGCTTCAATCAATAACTTTACCAGCAAGATAAAAAAAAAATACCAGCAAGGATGCAACAATTGATTCCTGGGTGTGGAAAACTAGTGCGAGATGTTAGGAAGCATGCACTTAGAGACTTAGGGGCATTTCCTTTGCCCAATCTGATTTTTTTAAGGATCTAGTCTGATCTAATTAAATCAGAAATATTTGCACTAAATAGAACTAAAATTAAAGTCATTTCGCTAAATAGCATTTAAAATGTTTTATTTCCTTAAATAGCACTTAATAATGTCCATAATATCCAGTGATGACGGATATTTACTTGAATAATGATTAATGCATAATGACTAAAAATGCTACTCCCTCCGTCCCAAAAAGAATGAGACGGTTTGACTTTTTGGGAAATTAAGGGAGGGATATTTTGGTATTGACTTTCCAAAAATACCCTTGATGTGATGGGTAAAAGTAGGATGTGATGAGTAGATTATTAGAAAAAAAGGTATGATGTGATAGGTAGGGTATGAAAAGGTAAGGGGTAAAAGGGGTTTTTTAATAGAAATGTAACGGACTTTATGAGACGCAGTTTTTTCTAAACGTAACAAACTTTTTGGGACGGAAGGAGTACATTGGAAAGAAAAACACATGTGGTGCTATTTAAGGAAATTCATTATGTTTTGGTGCTATTTAAGTAAATTATTCTCGTGCATTGTTTTGCTATATTAGCCTCGTGTCCCTATACTTTTGAAAGTGAACAAAAAGGAAATAACAAATACTCCCTCCGTCCCAAAATATTCACAACATTTGATTTTTCAGCAGTCGCGAGAATTTTTGTTTATTTTTACGTTTTCATTGGTTATTTGATAAAATAAAATATTCTTGACACCTCTTATTTCGAAGAACTTTTCATCTAGTATTTTGATATGTAAATTTTATTTTTTATTTCCATACCAATATGTAAATAAAATAAATTGAAAAAACTTGATATTTTGCCTCGGGAATACAAGTGTAGCAAATATTTAGGGACGGAGAGAGTATCTTCTTTATCTCGTATCTCTCTTGTCTCACGCTATCCCCTCGTCATGTTTAAAGCAAAAAGATTTAAATTCAACACTTTTGAAAACAAAACCAATTTTTAAAAGCGTGTTGCCCAAAATAGTACTCCTTCTATCTCTGAAAAAATTCTTTCTGTTTTGATTTTTTTGTCAAATAATGAAACTTTTTTACTACAAAAAAGAAAATGTATTGAATTATAATATAATTGGGTTTATCTCAGGATATAGTTTTGATATATCAAATTTTTATAATACTTGTTTATATAGATTATACGGAGTACTTAATTTATATTCAATTAGTGTTACTGGTTAGACACGCTTATGAAGGACTATGATATAATTTCAAAATGTTGACCTTTTAGCCAGGCTTGTTAACCGGTCGGATTTAAGCTCAGACCCTAATGTTCTATAGTTGTACCGATTAAAAAGAAGTTGTTATTGGTCAGTGTCTACTCAAGGGGTAATGATGTTGGGCACTAGTTTTAGGCTTGTCCTTTGATATTGGATCGATATATTCGTGAAAAAAGTGGATGTTTTTTGTGCTATACATAATTGATAAAAAGAGAGTACAAATATTAAGGAAAAAACTAATCTACGAGAAAAATATAGATAAAATATCAAAATAAAAGTTTTATGTATTTTATTCTCAGAATAAGAATTATAATCCCAACATGTAGTGCAAAAATACTTGACATCATACAGTGTCATAATATCGCAATGTAAAATTTTATTTTGAAGATAAAAAAATAGAATTCCTATTTTAGAGATAAATGCAATGTTTTCCTCTTATTTGATTAGATTTTTTTAAATACTATTAAAAAGAAAAAAATTCATATTAAATAAATACTCCCTCTGTGTGTATTTTTTTTCTATTTGGCTTTTCATGATTTTTAATTCAATCTTTTAATCATTAGTATCCCAATTTATATGTAGATATATATTATAAAATATGATATTTCAATGTTTATGCATTAGTAGTGAATTTTTACTCTCTTCGTCCCAAATTAAATTATAATTGTATGCTCACTGTTTACCTGGTCAAACTGTTAAACAACTCTCGTTATATATTTTTGGTACTCATATGATAAAATAATATAATTATGCCACCTCTTTTTCATAGAATTTTGATTTAATTTTTAAATAAAAAAAATTAATTTTAAATTCTACCTCAATTTTCAAATAAACTCTCAGTAATGCCAATTGGAAGTTTATTTTCACAATTTCAATATCCATTGTTGTTTTTGGTGATGTCCATCGCGTCAGTCATTAATTTATCCCCCCCTAATGCCCCATCTCCATGAATTCAAAAGTGCATCTCTAAATTGGAAATGTGATTTTTACACATTACTCGAATGTGTGGTACAATTTTAAGGTAATAATCATAGTCGTGCACGATAACAAGTATGGACGCTTTCGGTATTGACATTCACATCAGAAACAGAAGTAGTTTCAAGACTCCAATTCTAAACGCTTCGGCTAGATTAGATGGCTCTCTTGGGCAGATCACTTCGATCGTTGTTCCCTTTAGATCGAGTGTGACCGAGGAGTCCACTATGATCATCAAGTTCGCGAGATCGATCATGATTATGGGATCAGCTGTGGTCACCACTTTTGTTGGATCAACTGCAGCTACAGCCCCAATGGTCACCCCACTCGAACTGAACATGGATTTGGTCATCCTAATCAACTCCCTTAGATTGCATGCGACATCTTCCATACCGGTCATAACCTATTTAAGACTGAACGCAGATGCCTTCGTACCCATACTAAGACATTACTGTCACGATGTCTACAAACTCTGTCAAAGAACGAACAAAGTTCATAGGTGTCAATTTTAAAATCTGGTAGGAGAGGATGCTGTTTTGGCTGACCACCCTCTACCTTGCGAGGTAGCTGAGGAAGGACCCCCTTGCTATGGGGTAAAATGCAGACTAGCCAACTATTCAGACTAGGGAGGCATGAAAAGTGAATAACTATTTATGCCTTAACCTTATTCTGAATTGTTTGAGCGATGCCTTGTATGTAATGTATTGCAAGGTTGCATCCGTAAAGGAGTTATGGACTACATTTTCCAACAAATACCAGGCCGAGGACGCTATTGCAAAGAAATTCATTCTCGATAAGATTCTAAATTCTAAGACATTGTTTGAATTTTTGGTATTTTAAGAGACATTAAATGGATCAACTTTGGACTTAACGGTTTTAAGCGTTAATCAATGGATGTGTGTTATCTTAAAAAGAGATAAATGACTACTCCCTCCGTCCCTTAGTTTTTGTCCACTTTCAGTTTTGCACATCATCCAATGCTCTTCTTTAATCCATTTTATCTTGTAATTTGTATATTAAAAAATTATAGAAATTATATATTAATAATCTATATGTTAAGACAAATCAAACAAGATCACACATGACTATATTTAGGCTTACACATTGAGAGAATTTGATGAGTCAAAGTGCTTAGATGAACAGTTACAAAAGTCAAAAGTGGACAAAAACTGGGAGACGGAGGGAGTATTAAGATATATTTTACGCCACAAATGATAGAAGATTGAATGAGAAATTGATTCTCAAAGCTAACCCGTTAAATAGAAGAATATGGTTGATGCATATGATGTAAATTCATATTTCATTTTGAACCAATTTGTTGTTATCGTTATTGATGGGTGTATTTCACCCATGACCGGTCAACGATCAAGACCGGATAGTTGACCGGTCAAAGAAGTCAAACTTGCAAGAGAGGTCTAGATCGTCGGCGAAGGGATGACTGGTTGACCAAAAGGTTGACCGGTATGCTTAGGATAGTATACCGGTCAAACTATACCGGCGACTAATTCACCCTACAAAGATGGCCACGCCAACCTGCAAGAACCAACCGGTGTAGTTCCTAGAGATTGGGGAAGTGTCGGCAAGAGGAATCCAAAAGGACTTNTCAAGACCGGATAGTTGACCGGTCAAAGAAGTCAAACTTGCAAGAGAGGTCTAGATCGTCGGCGAAGGGATGACTGGTTGACCAAAAGGTTGACCGGTATGCTTAGGATAGTATACCGGTCAAACTATACCGGCGACTAATTCACCCTACAAAGATGGCCACGCCAACCTGCAAGAACCAACCGGTGTAGTTCCTAGAGATTGGGGAAGTGTCGGCAAGAGGAATCCAAAAGGACTTAGACTGTAGTGTTTGGAATTGCAGGGATGCTGAGGGAATATTTCCAAACCAGAACGCGACAAGGGTGCCACCCCCCGCGCAAGATGACAAGGCAGCTCAGAGACAGTCACTTCACACCACGCCAGCAGCATGCCCCCACGTGGGCGCACGTGGTCCTGCTCCCCAGCCTAGTATATATACCTCTTGTAACCCTTGAATGGGGGGATCCGAATTCACTCTCTCTAAACTCCCTTGTAAAAGCACCCGTGCATTCTCCGTTATAATATAAATCGGGCTACAGGTGTTCCACCTAAAGTCCTACCGGTCAATTTGCATGTTTTTACCTTTCTTACTTTGCCAAATCAAGCGAACTATTCTAGACCCGGTCTAGTATAGTTTGACCGGTCAAGTAATTTATACCATCATTTTTGGCGCCACCCGTGGGACCGTTAAGGTTTCTTCTCCTAAACACAAACCTACCCACCAAAACACCACTCGAAATGTCTTCCAGCCAACAAATCAACGCTACTTCCGCTCAGGTGCAGGCCACCAACGAGGGAGCCAGCATCCCTGTGGCTGCTACCATACCGGTCATTTCAGCCCCGGTGTTGCCT